TTTCCTTTTTGTGTAACTTTTATATCCTTTTTATCATTCTCTCTTGTTTGCTTTTTGTATTCACTATATTGGGAATCGAGATCTATAATGCCCAGGCGATTGATCTCTAATAAATGCTTAGATTAACGTTGGAACGTGGGATGGGAGAATAAGAATGAGCGTTATAATTAGCCTGAAAGGTTGCGATCCCAATCAAATTTGTATTCGCAGAAGTTTGCAGACGAATATGTGTATTAGTCGGCTATATTTCTAGGTAAAGTGGAATGTCTCTGAGGTCTCAATCGCATACGATTTATGACAGAGCAATTTTTTGTTAGGTTTGATCGTCTTAGTCTTTTCGTAAATGGAATATGATTGAAGGTTCAAACACATCTTATTCTACCTAGAAATATTATTTCCATTCAATTAAATTATTTTACCAACGTTTTTCGTCAAATTTAGACATCTGAATCCAAGTTTTTCAGTATTTAGGAAATCTGAGAAAAACTATAATTCATCGAAATGCTATTTTACTTTAGGTTTATATTTTGTGTCTGTGATGATTCTTTGTGCACTGTCGGTAGTGGCAACAGTTTTGGTTTTAATGCTTCATCATCGGAATGCTAAAAATCATATTATGCCTCATTGGGTAAGAAAAAGGGCAAAACGAACCCAAAACATTCTCTTATACAGCTTATTCTTTCACTACAGTTGTAATTGCTGCACAAACATACTGACGAAGGAACCTCGCGAACTGTCACATCGCTTTTTCAGCAAAACCTAGTGGGTTGTACGTTATTAACTTTTCTGAATCCGAATATCGTAATTGTAGCTGCTCATCGGCCTACAGAGAGCTTTTTTCTAGATAACTAGTTTTTCAAAAACTCTAGAATATAACCAAAACCTTTCCTAATGGTGCATAATTGTAGCTCGCGAATTTCTGATTAAAATGAGACATCTCCCAGCTCTACACAATCTTTCTTTGCAAAGTTACAGAATTTACAAGAAGAGTCCTAAATGTCCATTGTTAGCTCAAAGCTACAGAAATAAGAAGAAATTAATTTAGGGCTTTTCTTGTAAATTCTATAACTTTACAAAGGAAGGTTGTGTGCTAGGAGATGTCTCATTTTAATCAGAAATTTGTGGGCTACAATCATGCTTCATTAAGAAAAATTCTGGTTACCTTTTGGAGTTTCTGAAAAACTGATTTTCCAGAAAACCACTCTTTTAAGGCTCCTGGGCAGCTACCATTACGATATTCGGATTCATCGGTATAGTTAATAACCTATAATCCGCTAGGTTTGACTGCAAAAGCGATGTGACGATTTGCGAGGTCCCTTTGTTAGTTTGTTGACGATAGACACTAGGTTTGACTTTCATAATCGCATTCTAGAAAGCTCGATTTGTCGATAATATCCTCTTGATAAATAAAAATAACTTAGTTGTTTCACGCTCACACTTTAATTCCATATAACTCATATTGGTTAAGTCAAGTGCAATATCAGAGAAAAAGGACAAGGAGAAGTTTTAAACCCTGTTTGACTTTTTAATCAATTTTTTTAATTGCCTTTCTAGATTCGTCGTTATATTTGTCACTATTTGGCTTGGCTGTTGCGTATGAAACGTCCAAATGAAGAAATATCTTGGAAAGTTATATCATGTTTACAAAATTTAGTTATTTTAAAACGATCAGAACAAAATTCTGAAGCTAAAGAATCAAAAATAACTGATAATGAAAGTGAACCCTTATTAAGTCAAGAATTAGTGCCGGGAAATACCTCAGAACAACCGCAAACTTATGAAAATAAATCAAATTTAAAAGAAATAAAACAATTGAAAGTGGAATTGCAAAGGATTTTTAAAGAAATATGTGTAATAACTGATGATATACGTCAGCGTGGAAAAGATGATAACATTGCTTCTGATTGGAAATTTGCCGCTATGGTTATTGAACGATTTTGTTTATGGCTGTTTACGTTTCTAACAATTGTTTTTACTTGCTCTATTTTGTTTTCATCGCCAAATATTTTTAAATTATATTGATTCTATATACTCACCAAAGCCTTTCTTTCAAGAGGAAACTGTGCAGCTGCACCTTGTAAATGCTCTAACATCTTTCTTCAAGTTCAAATGTAATTCAATTAAAAAGATTCACCATTTATAAAAGATTACTTTTCGCAAACTTAGCGATCTATAACATACAGAACAAAAGTCTTCCCGCAAAATGTCAAGTAGTGTTTCTCTAAGTGCTTCGTGTACCGCAAACTTCGCTTTTTTTTCCTTGTAAAAAGAGGGAAGTCTGAACCGCAAGAAACATGAAAACGAAACTTTTTTAGAAAAAAATTTTGGATAAAAGTTCACAAAACAAAAGACTCTCACAACTGTTTTCTAACGTAGAAGAAACTTGAATGTTTTGTTATAGATTTAAAATACACCATGCTTCGAAAACCAAATAGAGAAAACTGTACTGCTTAAGAGATTCTTTAGGAGTACTACTTTTTAAAATTAGCCGCATCTGTTTCAATGTAAAAGAAAAAAGATTTAGAAAACGTGTCACCTTGTACCACCAAGGTAAGCAAAAAATTACTGAAGACGGCCGCCATGACTAGTCCGAAATGTCTGTATATCGCGTCAGGACTAGTCTAGAACGTCCCTTTCGCTCGTCATGACTAGTCCAGTTTTTAACATTTTCTGATAAGCTCGCTTTGACCGAAAGCACCTGTCGAACTAGTCAGCCTGGATAGTGTATTCTTTTTCGAACCGAATTTATCATTTCTGAGCGAAATTCGTCTAAACCTAGATACTCCTAGACTCAGAAAAGGACTTCTTTGATTCACCAACCTCACATTACACAACTCTATCGCTCGTGAAGTAACGTCGGGTGCGGTAATATCGTGTAACAGTCTCTTTTAGCCGCTATTGAGTCTCGAAGCTCCGTTCATGTTTTTTTAATACGACTCGAAGCAAATCGCATTTCAGGATTTATCTTCGTCTTTTTCCTCGATCAAAAACTATCTCATTTTCTCACGGTTTTGTTCTGAAAAAGTAGAAATTCTACGCAGAAATCAGAAAAACAATTACATAGAAAACAGACTGAATATCCAAATGTCCTCATTCGAGTTTTGTGCGACATTACGTCTCTATTCTAGAAAGCCTCAATGTAGGCTTTTCATCAACTTGGGACTTTGTTTTTTCAACAAAGTGACTTAAGAGGAAATGTCTCCGATTGCTCAATCGCTTTTTGTTGAGAAACTAGTTCACACTCGATAATCGATCATGTTGATTCCAATTATCGATATAAAACCGACGGCTAGTCTTCCAAACATTGGTTTCTAGCAAACCAGGTTCCAAAATCAAAAGCCTCCTTTCGAAAAAACGTATTCTGGTCTGTGCAGATAAAAGAGCACATCAGAAAGCCTAGAGATAACTAATTGAGGTTTCAAAATGTTTTTTTAAGAAGTTGTAATCACCTCAACTTGATTAACCGCCGAAGGAAAGAAGTCTTTCAAGTTTTTGACGGTTTTCTCGTACTCCAAACGCATTTTGAAACCTCGAAATTTAGTTGTCTCTAGGTTTTCTGATTTGCTCTTTTATCTGCACAGTTTGGAAGGCTAGCCGCCAGTTTTATATCGATAATCAGAATCAACATGATCGACTACCTATGTTTTTTGACACAAATTTAAAGTTTCTAATTTTGGAAACGACGACACACTCGAAATTTTCTGCTAGTTTTGAGAGCTTAAAACCGGATTTTGAAGTATATAAACATAGTTACTATAGGTTTTCTAGTATGCTCTTTCCATTGAAATGATTAGGAAGACTTTGTGGAAAACCATGGACTACGTTTTCCGCAAATTCGCCTTGGAAAATCACTAGTGGCGCCAGGCAAACATTTTTTTGAGTTTCGGAGCATTCGAATGGAAAGAGCATGCTCCAAAATCTATAGAAACTATGTTTATATACTTCGAATCCGGTTTTTAGCTCTCAAAACTAGTAGAAAACCTCGAGTGTGTCGTCGTTTCCAAAATTAGAAATTTAATATTTGCGTCAAAAAACATTCAGTAACGCATTTTCTGGTTCAGTTTTCGATGCTGATTCCAAAGATGGCCTTGATTTTGAGTTTAAGTGAAGTTTTGTCGAGAAAAACTCAAAAACTGAAAAATCATCTGCCAGTAAGCCATCTTATTTCCCAAATTTCGGCATGGCGCACACATTTTTGACAGCCGAAACATAGCCTAACCTGTAGAGAACTGAATTCTGTACAAGATTCCATCCTGACATCTTTTGTCGATTCTACAATGACTCCAAAAGAACTCGAAATACTTCAAAAATTTGCGTTTCAGGAAACGTTGATTTTTTCAGAGTTATTAATTTCAAAACTCACTTGGACACATAACTGAGCCCGAAACATATTTTCTAATTTAGTCTTTGAGATTCTTTCAAATGAGATGTCGTTCGAACAGAACAAACAAAAAATGGTGAAGTTATAGACGAAATATCGAAGAGCTCGCTTTTTTCAGGGTTTTCAAAGTACTCCATTTTGAATGCCTATAACTCCGTTAAAATAACTCTGAACTCTCTCAAAATTTTTTCATAACCACAGCTTTTTTGTGAGAAGCCCGAGTACATGCCAGAATTCTTGCATAACAAAGAAGTAAAATAAGAGCTAGAAAAAAAAAAGATGTATTGATAGATATATGGCAGTAGTAAGGAAGTTATGAAATGAATATATATTAAAAAATAGAGATAAAAGGTGAGGGATGAAGAGAGTAATGAGTTATAGTGTTGTGACAATGCCCTCTACAAGTATACCAAATTAAACATCAGAACTGATCAAATCATTGTGTTTCCGCAATAAAGAGAAGAACACAATTATAAACTTTAACAGAAGTGGGTAAGTTCGACGATTTCAGAGTCCAAATCTAACAGAACTTTTTTTGTCTTAACAGCTTAGATCCAAAGTCGAGTCAAAGCGCTTCATAGCAGTTTCTGTACCATACAGTACGCCATAAGCATATATGATGGATAAATAAATTTTATCCATACATCGATACATGTTTGATAAAAAAAAGATTAGGTATCAGATTATACTCATTCCATTGTTAAATGTAACAGATTTTAATTTCATGGACTTCGAACGGATTTGATAAAAAGATCCCCAATTCCAAGTCCATCAAAAAAGTTTGAAGTCCAGACTTGGACTTTCACACCTTTGAACTTCGATCAAATCCTCTTTTCGGAGTGCTTTTATCGAATGCAACAAAATGTGATCTAGAGTTATCGGATATAAAAAGAAACTGTAATATGACTTTACGGGGTTTATCGTACAAGGTTCATTGTATAAAGAAGTGTTTGGTTGATTCCTTATTAATCGTACAAGTACAATTTGAGAAAGGTGCCAGTTGTTTTAAAAATAAAAGTTCATTTAATTCAGGAAAACTAAATCTACATCTTGCATGATGAATTTCAAGCTTTCTGTAACCCGATCCGTATCTGCGTCCGATCCGACCCGAAGGTTGGCTGCGGGTATGAAGTTGTCGGATATGGGTTCCGTTATTTTAGAATTTATCCTAAAATCGGAAGTTATTAGTGGAAAAGAATGAAATTTTAGTGAAAAACTACAAGAGTTTAGCTAAAATACATGAAGTTTTAAAAGAGTTATTTGAGAATGTAATGATAATTTGAAATCTACAGTCGAAGAACAAAAACTTTAGCTGAAAACCGAAAAGGAGAAAACGTTTAGGCATAAGTCACGTACAGGCACGAAGTTGATGGTTCGGGTAAGCGTGAAAGAAATATTTGGGGTCTGAAAACGATACCTTGTAATATTTGGATTCCGCTGATATTCAGTCATGTGTGAGTTATTATAAGAGTCACTGACTCTTGTATTCCTACTTAACTCCGAGCGTATAATTGATGCATGTAAACACGTTGTCAGATAAGTTGCCGATATCATTCCGAGAAAAAAAAAGCTATAACTCAACTCAGAGTGAAGACTTCAAAGAACTACTCGTTCTTTTGTAAGTACTTCATTGAGTAAAATTTAGAGTACCGAGCGGTAATTTGAACTTCGTATAATTGTCTCTAAATGTTTTCGTCGTGACTAACCGCTATGTTACAAACAAATGATGTTTTCAATCTAAAAGCTAAAATGAATATTTCGTCTGTTCTACTGTTTTGGTCTATATGGATATTTTGTTGTTAGTTTTTGATGATATCGCTGTTGTTGTTTTAAATACTTTAATCGTTTTAAATCGATGGTCAGCATTAATCAGCTAAAAAATGAAATTAATGTTTTGCATGAAAATCAATAGTAGTTATGCTCAAAATCAAAAACAAATTTACGGAAACTCGTGACTAAACTTGAAAACGAACAAAGCCGAACAGAGGAACATTTTTAGACATGTTGGGATTAGAAGTGTGCATGGAGAAAACGTTTGAGGTAGATGGGTAGAAGCGAAAAATGTTTACACGACGGCCACTAATCAAAGATCACCAAATGCTATAGACACATTTCATTTAATTCAGATTAATATTTCTTATCATCGAAATTCCACACGAAAAGCTTGTTTTTTAGACAACTGGGCTTTCTCCTTTAAAGTACTCCACAAAAGTACCAGAATCTCTTCTACCCGATAGTCCGTGAGATACAAACGATTCATTTCTTTCCATAAAATGTCAATAACTCGTGATCTCAGCCAGATGAAAACTTTTTCCTTTTACCAAAATGTAGCCACGACTCCACTCTGTCTACGATTTGAATTTTGTGAATTGGCTTTTAATGGTCAGCGAAATATAGCTATTTTACGAGCGAATGTTGCTTTTTTTATTGAAAATTCACACCTCAATCTAGGAGCACCATTTTGACTGCAAATGAGCACCGAAGACTCTACGGTGTCTGTAGACTATCTAGCCAAAGTATCAAATTTAGCTATTGTGTGATTCTGGAAATTAAAATAAAAAAAGAAATCATGGAAACCTATGATTCCGAAAAACGTATGTGAAACTTTTATTAGAAAGATAACACACTCACCTCTAACGTT